ATATTGTAGCAGAGGCCGTTTTTAGGGTTACGACTCTGGTCAGTCCGTCTCCGCCAGGATGTATTTTTTGTACTCGAGCGAGTGGCCATTTGCTAGGAGGTAGTCTTTCATCTGTAATGAGCACAATAGAACCTTCCTTGATGTCATTCTGTGGGTGGTGCCATTTTGAGATGGATTGCTGTCGTTGCAGATAGTGAGTCGACCAGAGAGACCAGAATTGTTGTACGCGTTGTTGAATGAATTGCCAGCGTGACAGTCTTGACATATGTACTTCCTTTAATGACGGTTCAGGAATTGCAGTGAGCGGACCTCCTGTTAAAAAATGTCCAGGTGTGAGTGCGGTCGTGTCTTCTGGATCGTCACTTAATGGTTCCAAGGGTCTGGAATTAAGAATGGCTTCGATTTGTGCTAGCAACATCGTAAGCTCTTCGAATGTAAGCAAAGTTTCTCTTAAGGTGCGTCGCAGATGGTGTTTTACTGATTTATAATATTATGATAATATTTCAAATCGTAAACTTGCTCGGACTTGCCGAGTTTTGTTTGTAAACATTTTCTCGAGTGCCCGCCTCGGTCCGCACGTGCGGATCAGCCTTGCTGCACGCGCGGTCAGTCTAGGCGCACATGCGGTACGCCGGGCTGCGTAAATGACCTTTCTTTTGTTTGAAATTCATGGGACTGCTTCAATCCCGAACATACTCCATCACCTGTATCGACTCTTTCAATAGAGGTTATGTGAAACTTAATTTGTGCATGGGTGACTAGCTTATTTAAAATAATATAAAGAGATGTAACTTGTAAACTACCGTCAAGGTACGTTGATTTGCTACGTGGCTGGTGTGCCCTTTTTTATTACGATTTCATTGACATCACTGTTAAATCACTACCTGTTCTTGCTAACTCCTTTTAATATGCACATGTATCTTTAGGTTAGTTGCCGAACGTGCATCCACATGTCGTCATCGCAGTATATACTAAAACACACTGATTTCACTTAGCTAGCAACAGACCATCATTGTTGCTGCACTGGAATATTACCTAAGGCGCAGAAAGAAAAATCTAGATGTTTCGAGAATTCGACGAAAGAAAAAATAAGGCGTAATAACTTTAGAGAATTCCGGACGATGTTATTACCCGAAGACCATATAAACATTGCGGAACATTTGAAACCAAAACATAACAAGTATACGGAAATTCTCGTCCTGGGTGTTTACAGAAATCTGAGATCTAAAGGGCGGGCGATGCCGACAATCGTTGGTCTTGGAACAGGCTTCAAGCTCGAACAAAAACAATAAACAAATAACTAAAACAATATTAAAATTATATTGCTGAGTTCAATATTTTAATTTTTAAAATAATAATGAATTTATTAAAAATCTTGAATAAATTAATTTAATAGAAATATTAGATAAAAAATTAAAAATTATATTTATAAAATTAAAAAAGATCAAATAGAGAACAATTAATATCAGTATCATAAATAATATATTTCTATAATATATATAACATTTTAATTTAATTGGATATAATATTAATTTTAACTATTCATCTATTAACATATTTGAATTTTAATTAAAAGTACTGTTCAGGATTGAACTATCCAATAATAAAAAATTTATTGTATATTATAATATGATTCCGATATATTATATCTATATTAAGACGTAATATTTTAATTATTCATTACGAAAATTCTCAATGTAAATTTATGCCTCGTACTACATCCGCTTAGTAACAAAGGAAGATTCTTGAATCTACTAAAGCTTGCTTTCAGAGAATTCACCAGAGCTTCCAAGAATTACAACGCTAAATGTACGCAATCATATATAAGGAGCACCAGACGACGAAGAAAATTAGTCTTGTTGAGTAAGTCAAGTGAAATTAGTGCCAGTTATACCAGTGAAGGTTATACGCGTCTAAGGGAATCCGTGCAAGGTATACTCATTATTTACATTATTTATTCTATATTGCTGACCAGCTATCGGTGCGTCCTCCGCAATGTGACAATAGTCAGATCGGATTGAGGGCAACGACATAGACTGGCATCTCCAGCAATTTCTCGATATCACATTATACCGTGCGGCTCAGCGCCAACACTATCGGTCAGGCCCTTGCAACATAATTATTATCATACCTCTACAAACGGCACCGATATGGTCTGGTTGTCCCCGCCACGCACTCATTACTGCGGCACAGCGTCGATATTATCAGGTCATGCCTCTGCAACTTGGTTTTTATCAGAACACCGAAGAGGGCGTCGATAATCCGTGAATCGTCCCCACTAAGAATTCGTGAACCGTCAAACGATCCGTGAATTTTTGCCGAACTAACCACTTAAGCATTTTCGAGCCGGACACCGCTCCAAAAAATCTGTCGACGAAGTAACCGTTTAAGAAGTCGCAAGCCCGACAAGGCTCTCCGGAAACCACTGCCGAATCAATTGCCTAAGGATTCGCAAACCGGGGATGCTCTTTCACGGTAGGGACTAAACTGCGTGCCCAGTACAACCAACTCACCCCCTCACCTTGCACTGCCGGACGACGTAATATCTCTCATGGTCAACTGCCTAATCACTACGAACTTAACAATTCTCACTACTATCAGTTACACCCATCACCACTGTAATAACTTCTTAAATAAAGGTCATTAAAACCAATTGTGTCTACACTGAATTGATGCATTAACCTCTCACTCATCCCCCCCCCTCCCATCGCCATTAAACCAGTGGTCTAATCCACCCACCTTGATCTGCGATCAGACTGGTGGCTGGAATTCCAAACAAGTACAAATATTATAATAAAATCATAAAAAGATATTTTATTTAAATTATATATAATTAATTATACGATTTATGCAAATAAATAATACATACAATATTATCTATAAATAATACATACACTATTATCTGGGATCAGACTAAAAGCCTCCTTAGATGGTGGGTGGAGGTGTTGCTGGCAAGTGAAGGGACAGTGCAATTATTCAAGACTACTTTTAATGTTTATCGTTGTTTCTTTATTAAATATAATAATAATAAATAATTAATTATGAAGTATAAATGATATAATAGATTAAATATAAAGTTTCCTTTATTGTTACGTATTATGAATGTATTTCTTCCTTTGTTGTATAATTAATAAATGCTATCTTAACATACATTAAATTGTTGATAATAGTGGTATGGTTGATGCCGAGCCTTTATTACGTCGGTTTTATCTGTGATATCTTTCAATAGTGGTATGGTTAATGCCGCGCCTTTATTACGACGGTCTTATCTGTGATATCTTTCAATAGTGGTATGGTTGATGCCGCGCCTTTATTACGTCGGTCTTGTCTTATGCATGAGTTGTTACAATATATTTTATGTTTTCACTATTGTTTTATGGTCACTAATATGTTATTAATAATTTAAATAAATGTCACTATTTCTTTCGTAGATTATTACTTAATTGATTATTAATTATATATATTATTAAACTGTAGTTTCTGTAGATGTAGTCGAAAATATATAGTGCATTTTATAATGATTGTGTAATGGTTAATAGACTGATCCAAACTGAGATGCTGTGTGAAACGCAGCCCTTAAATATTATTGCACTATTTCTCAAATGCTGATGTTTGTTACCATGACGACATTAGTCGTGACGTCAACAGGACATCGCCTGGAACGTTCGTTGCTAGTATTTTGTTTAAATAACTGAATTACGCATTCATACCTCTTCCACTTTCGACTTTCAAGTTTTTAATCCGTAACAACTATCAAAAAGTTAATGTAACAATAAATGAAAATGTAAATGCAATTTTTATTTTAATTTGTCTGTTTAGTTAATAAAACTATTTAAATTTCGTACTTTTAATAATAAATTGTTAATTTTTTTATAATTATTTTAAGAATTAAAAATATTTTAATTATATTTATATAATATTTGGATTTTATGTACTCATAGCCTCAACTACTCCGAAATATTACAATAGTAACAAACATTTTTCAACGAAAAGAAAAAAATAGTTTCAAAGAAGATAATTTTCTAAACGTTTTATATATTTTTTATATAAACAAAATAAATAATAAATTTCATTTTAATAAGTCATTTAAAAAATAAACAATTTAATTTACAATTACAATTTAACATTAATAAATTAAATGTATGTCTTTGGGATTGGAACAACTTCGAAGAATTTAAAAATGGGAAAAGTAAAAGTTTTCGGATGCTTATGTAAACATTGATTCTGCGAATTCTTAAATATTCTATGCCTTATTTTCTAGTGTCCTACAATATTTTCGCATAGCAATGTCAATTAAAATTCTCGAACCTTCCAAAGCAGTGTCCTTCTGAACTTTTCGAATATTCTGCAGCTCAGTTTCTGACGTCATCAAGATTTTCGGCCTAGCAACAAGCCCAAGCACTGTAGCCCACGCACCGGAGCACACTGTAATTTTACAAATCGTTCACTCATCTGTTATTGCTCACAGTATTTGTAAATCAATCAGTTATCAGTTTTTGCTCACACAGCCATTAAACTCCGCCGCATACCAGTCAATCAGTCTACAATATATACGCATATAATTCTGCCAGACTCTGCAATAAAAAGCTAGTAAGCCAACAGTGATACCATCATAATTTAGAATCACTTAAGTGCGCCATAGTTAAGCAGTCATTCAGTACACAGTGTCGGTAGTCACTCAGAGCACAGTGCTAGTTATTCTTCCGAATCAGTCACTCGTCCTAGCCAGTCATCCGCGCCCTAGCCACGCCATTAAATGGAGTCTACAACAGAGAGAAAGTCACGTATCACACGCTCTCGCAGTGCAGCCATTGCAAGGAACACATTTTCGATTCTCCAGTGCGCAACGGTTAATGTAACTGCAGTTCTAGAAAATAGTTGACTACACAAAGCATGGTATCGGACCCTTCTTCACTCGAAGGTATACCATCAGTCTTTATTAAGAATAACTACCACGGAGACATTCTTATACTACCCTTATAAGTATGGTCAATTCTCCCTGAGACATTCTCATACTCCTCTTATGAACATGGTCAATTCTCCTTGCTGACCTTTAAAATGTTAGCATAGACCTCAACCAAGCCATATTCCCCTTCAGGGAATATACAAAATCCATTGCTGATCCCCATGTCATTGATGACATCATCACCATCACCAAGGAGCAACTACATCATAGTAATAGAACATAATTCACTCTCTACCACGAGAAGTGAATACACAACAACACTAGTGCAATTGGCAATAAAACCAAATAAACGATGTCCTAAACGAAGATACATACTGTACGTATTTACAGTCCTTCCACGCGTGTCCTTTCCTAAGCATCGCTAAGGCGAGCGACAAATAAACTGAACTATTGAACTTGGTAGTTCAAACCAGAAACTGAATTCATTTGATCCTTCGATCACAATAAATAAA